GTCCAGTATCAACCATGCCTGCTAGAGCCCATGGGCTACCTAAACTACATAAAGATTTTGATAATATTCCACCCCTAAGACCTATTATTGACACGACCGGTACTTGTTATTATTCAGTAGCTAAGTTCTTATCAAACTTATAGTAGAGGCTAAATATGGTTTAACCTTAAACAAACTCTAATAAAAGGACTTTTTGTATATTCTTGTACGTCTATACGTAAATAATTATGGAAAAAATTTTGCTGCCTTTTTATAGTTGCGTTGACCAGATATTCAGGGTCAAGTGTCAAAGACCTTTATATAACATGTTCTGAGTCATAAGTCTAATAACCACTTGCTCTAAAAGCATAAAAATAGTATTTTAGTGAAATTTTGCCGGGAATGGGGCTTTAACATATGATTACATACTGTATATTAAGACCAAAATAAGACTCAAACAGAGTGTGCTAGACTCTGAAAAACATATGCCCGGATTTTTTCGACGGGGTAGGGGGTAGGGACGAACAAATAATGTGCGTGGTCGGATCTCTCGAAAGTGTTCCAGGGAGGCGAAGCTTTAAAATATATGCTTATGATTAATAATGGGTTTCAAATTCTTAATTACTGTAATCGATTTTAGAGGCTATACTAATTATGTAATAATACACAACTTTGTTGTTCTCCCCGACGGCTTGTGGTTTATCTCCCTGACGGGGGAGGGGACTCCCTCCCGCTTTTCCCACCTGGCTTCACCCCTGTGTAATATAATATATAATAGTTTTGAAGAACGGTTGGGTAAGATGCGTTGCATATTATTATAAATATTAATGTGTACATGGCTCTATCAAAACCAGACTAGGCTAGGCTAGGCCATGATAGGTTATGATAAGATAGGCTATGATAATAATAACAGTAATAATAGAAGCATACATTATTTATAACAACCAATAATAATTATTATTTAATTGGCAATGACTAGAGCGATCGCGATGATCTAAGATGACAGAAAACTCATCAAAAATATGTAAACACGAAGCAAACCCAACAGTTAGAGCATGCGCAAATTAGCTTTTTGATTGCGTTGCGGCGCTTGCGTTGCAAAAAGTTGAATCGATTCAACTTTTCGCAAACAACGCAAAAGTTGAGTAACGTCGGTGTTGCGTTGCATAGCCAAGTTTGCGTCGTCGGTTCCCATTTGGAAGCCGCAGAACCCTCGAGTTGCATCACTTTGCGTTGATACATTGCGTCTGCATCGTTGCGTCCTAGTGGGTTAAAGAAGGGTTGTGCTATACTTTTTAGTTTCAGGGTGTATGTATACCTTACAAGGAAGGCTAATTATTTGACATTCTAATAAGTCGATAACCATTAATTAAAGCTTCTGAAAATAAGGAAAGAATCATGATCCAACAGGGAATATCATTGTATACAGTATATTTACACACGTTCACCCACCCCCTCTTTCTACCAAATAAGCCAAATAAGAGGTGCGGATTTAGAAGGGAGTATGGTGCTTGGTCCTGTCGCTGAAAAGGGGAAAAATAAAAGAAAAAGAAATAATTGGTCGCCTAATACACCTCAGAGGTTATTTTCGGTCGTCTAGAGAGTACTAGAAAACAATGCTGTGGGAAACAATAACTGGATATATGGACATACTATATA